ATGCGCCAGCACCCTCAGCCAGAGGTAGCGGCCGCGACCAGGCCCTGGAGTTCTGCCACTTGGAGGGGGCCCAGGACAGGAGGAAGGGCCCCCTGGTAACCGCTGATTACCAGGATATTTATTATGCCGGTAACTAGGGATTCACCGATACCACTTTTTAAAGACCGAGTACGAGTACCGATACTTTTTCCCAAGTACTCACCGATACCAATTACCGATACTTTTTCTTAAAGGGACAGGTCATATTTTTTCTAAGGCAATACAAAATCATGATTTTAGGTCAGTTTCTTAATATTATGAAGAACATGAACATGAAATGAACATGAAATGTGGAAGAGGAAGATGTGGAAATGACACTGGGTGTGAAGGTCCTCAGTCAGAAGCCGGTATGGGAAGAAGAAGCTGTTCACACCTAAATGTTTTTTCAGACTGATCCCCCAGGTGATAGACACACACATACACACACATCAGTCGCCCCATGGCTGTCCCATATCTAAGCTTGTCAGCCCAGTCCTGTCCATGCCTATGATGATAATGAGGGCTACTCTGGGTTCCCAGTCCTGCTCCTCTCTGCAGCCTCCTCTATAGGAATCCTATACATGTCTATGAGCCATGCAATGCTGCTCGGGGCTGCCAGTCTGCAGTTTGACTGCAAGTCCCAGCACAACCATTGAACCTGCTGCACCCCTTTCCCATGGCTGCAGCATGACCTCCTGCTGGGGCAATGCAAGCTGTGGCTTGTAGTTCCCCGGCTGAACAGGTTGCATTGTCCCCGCTGGCTCCTTTTGTTATGGAAGTTTCCCCCGAACACGCCTGGCAGACACTCTCACCTTCATGTAGTTCATGATGGTCTGGACGAGTCCTCCCAGCACGCTGCAATCCTTCCCCTTGTACGCTTACACGGCTCCTGTCCTGGGGTTGCCTCCCATCTGCCTGTCGCCGTGACTCGGGTCGGAACATTGGGTCGAGGACTCATTGACAGTGGTCGCGACGTCAGCAATTTTTCACCCCCCCCACTGCCGCCCCGAGGCCTGGCCTCGGCCTTGTGAGGAATCCTGCCATGGTCACAGCCTAGTCATATCTGCTCCATTCTGACCTATTCTCCCGCTGATTGGCCGATTGGATGATGACAGGCTTCCTCACCAGTCACTCCTGACTGGTGAGGAAGCCTTAATTTTCTTGTGGGGGGGGGGACCCTTCATGGATTCTTGCATTGGGGCCCTGAGGTCACTAGTTACGCCTCAGCCCTCACAGCCCCTCCTAACATTACAAAAAAGGAGAAACCAACTAAAAATTTTAACCTTCAGGAAGCCAAGTAGAAACCCCAACCCAAGTAAAAGCAATTTAAATTGCAAGAAGCATTTTTTATTTACTTTTTGTTAGCTTATGCTAAACGTGATTTTTTTTTTTTTTAGCTTATGAACGGAAACATGTAACAAATATAAAATAGGATTTATCCAAATTTGGCTGCAAAAGTGGAAATCTACTTTAAGCCTGTGCTTGTATGGTTCACAATTCTTGCTTCCTTTTATAGTAACATAAGGATTAGCTTTATATAGATGTAGGAAAAAGAAATCATACCACGTTTGCTGACATGGTAAGAAGATAAATCTAGGCCAAGCAATATGCTCCTTTGGTTTTTGCCTCACCTTAAAGCACCCCCCTCAGGACTCTGGACATATGAAAACGTAACCTTTGCAGTGGGGCTAAAATAAAGAAGATACTCACCTGTGACCGCCCACCTCTCTCCCCCTCCAATCTGGCGGTCGTATGTCCCTTGGTGTCCTCACATCTAATACACTGTATTAGACATGATGACAAATCTATCATTGGACCTCTGGAGCCTGAGGAAGAAGAGGCTGTGGGGACTGATCTAGCAGCCCGGCCGAGCCCAGGATAGATTGAGTATTTCTTTATTTTAGACCCTAGAGAAAAATGAGCACTTAACCTTTGCAGTGCAGGGGTAGCCCCACTGCATGGGTTCATTTCTCATATGCCCAGAATTCTTCATTAAGTCCAATTGAACCCTCAAGCTTTATGGCTGTAATCAATCTTTTTTGTACTCTTCAACTGTTAATCTTAATTATATATAAGCAGAAAAGAAAGGGAGGGGACAAGGCAAGAGATTACAATTTGCTAGGGTAATAGGGCAGAAGACCTTACAAGATATTATAAAAGAGTCATATAGAAGGCCAAACAACCTTTAAGCCTATAAGCAAAAGGTAAAGGATGCGATTGAGCATAGGCAGTAGGCATGGAATGTGGTTTTGTTGTTTGGGGGACGAATCACTTGTTCTTCAGGTTTCAAGTAGTAGTTACTAGAAGGGTAAAACGAGAGATTAGGCATAGATAAATCACAAAAGCAGGATTGCTTTTTGCTGTTGATAAATTACTGACATGTGGTCAGCTTGGAGCGTGAGGGAGACTTCCTGTTTGTTGCCTGCTCAGTTCTTAACAAATCAGCGCTCAGACATCACCCTGGCCTCTCCCATCTTAGTAGCAGTAATAATGCAGCTACTACTGAAGAGCTGCCATCAGGACAGAGAACTGTCAGTTTTGTTGTATGATGTGCTTTGCTCTACCCTGAGAGGATGCGCTTGACAAAGTCCAGCTACCATCCACCCAGGATTTCGCCAGCCATGCTGATCGTAAACAGGAGGTGAGTCTTTCTCTTTTTATATAGAATTCTTACTTCTTTTTAAGTCTGTACAGTCCAGCTCAAATACAGTAAAATAGTTCTGAAGGCTGACAGTTGATTGTAAATAGATGGGAAAGTTTGAATTTCTTGTTTTAGGGTCTGCTGTATGTGCCAAGTGCTTAAATAACATGAAGCATCTCAAATTTGATCTGCACAATTATTTTTTATTTCTTTTATAATGTAATTATTTTATTTTTTTATATACTTCTTTATGTTTTCCAATGCAGTGGCTTATACAGACAGAGAGAATATTACAGTTCGGTGGTTGACACTATTGTTCAAGTTCTTCATATAGTGGCAGATGAGGTCATTTGTCTTGATTTTGCCCTCCATTGAATAATTTTTTCCCCACACAAGGGGGAGAGATAATGCCAAAATTAACCCATGATTAGGTAATAGCAATGACGCAATGGAAGTTCCTAGTTATTAAGGGATACCATCATTTATTTCTGTGATGTGTATCATTCTTTAAACATATTGATTATTAAATTAATATATAGAATATCTTCACATTTTAGAGAATATGTATTGGTAGTGTTATATATTTCCAGGGCAACCACCCTAGCGAGAAGCAATACTACATAACAGTTGTCTGCATGAAAGCCTCACTTTCTGACATAGTCAGTGTAGCAGCTTGAGCAGAAGAAAATGTATTAATCAGTATATGCGTTCTTATATTCTTACTTAATGCTTAAGGTGTCTCCTTTGGTATCTGAGGGACAGACTTATTCTCAAGCAAAATCATAATGGGTGGTAGTTTTTTTTCTCTTTTCCTGACATCTAAATAGTGGAATTGTCTTTGTGTAACTGGATGCGCTGGAAGCAATGTGGATGATTCAGGAATTGCTTGTACGGATCGGAGCAGTTCTAACAAAAACCTTTCAATTTATTGGACATTCCGTAGGTGAGCAAGCACCAACTGTTCCTTTTCCTATGAAGAAAAGGCAAGATATCCCTTAATTCTGTAGTTTCCACACACCCATTGGCCATGAGAAGATGTATTTAATGACATGCACATATCTTCTGCTTTCTTAGCCTTGCTCACCACACACGTTACTGACTGTACAAACTCTTTTAGATCTTCCAACAGCTATGTAGTACAAAGACCTGTCTGATTGCATACAGCTTTCTGGTAGGTGCAGTGCACAAGCAGTTAATACAAATTTCTATTGAAGTGTATCTATGCTTAGAATGCAGAATTACATATTCTTTTCCACATTGAAGTTCAAAGAATGATCTTTAGGTTTTTAAACTTACGTTTTGAAGAATCCCACAGGATTTACTTCCTTTTCACCTTTTTGCTGCTGCCACCATATACAATACGTCGGCAACAGTAGTGCTCTGTTTCCAAGTGTAAGCTGACTGTTGGCTTTACACTGGAAGTGATAACTTCCATGGGCTGTCAAACATGCTGCCCTCTCCCCGTGGATGGTGGGGGTAGCTTGTTTGACAGCCCGTGCAAGTGATGACATGGGAGGTGTTTAAACAAGGAGAGGCAGACCAGTAAATATGCATTCGCTGATCTTCTCTCCACTAAATGATCCTGGAAGCGAAGATGATCGCTTTGAAACCTGTGGTTTCTGAGCTGCCAATCCTGGTCTGTGCTTAATTAGCTTCAATGGGCTACAAAGGTGACATTAGAGGTCTAGTAGAAAAGCTGTCACCACTAAAGTGCTATCACATGGGGGATTTTTGATAGCACTTTAGTGGTGACAGCTATTAGAAAATAATATTAAGTAAAAATAGTGTAAAAACACTCCCCAAAAAAGTTTCACACACTAACGCAAATGCTCGTTGGGTGTGCCTACGTATAAAACAACAATTGTACAACACATGTTATGTATCTCCGCGCATGCTGGAGTGAGAGCAATAATTCTGGTGCCATTATTCACAGTTAGCTCTAAACTGATGAGATGTAAAAACTAAGTGTTGCCTATACACAATTTTGGGTACCATAATTTTTCACCATTTCACGAATGCACACAGTTTTGAAGTTTGAAATGTTTGGTATCTATTTACTCGCGACAACCTTATCTTTCATACCTTACCCAAAAAATCGGGTAATATCTTTTGTTTATGTGCACAAAAATTAACTTAAGTGTAATTTGTACTGAAAATGTGGGTTTGATAAACAGTTTTGCAATGCAACTGCCACCATTTTATTCTACAGGGTCTCTGCTTTCAGAAAATATATAATGTTTGGGCGTGTTAAGCAATTCCACCGTAATCAGTACGTTTTCTCTCATGGTTTTCTAAGGATAAATGTTTGTATTAATTGCTTGTGTTCTCTTTTTGTTTTAAGTTTCCTTGTGTGGCCCAGAATGGCAAACTGCGGAGTGAACACAAAGAACAAAGTCACGGTTAATAAGCCAGTTTGGGAATTTCTCAACAAAGAGACTCCTTCCAAACTAAACCGTCTGAGAGAAGACAGTGGAGTTCGTATTCTGATTGATGGTGAAACATCGGAGATTTATGTGTTACGATTGTCTGTTGACAGCCATGTTCCAGCAAATGCGATCTCTCTGGCTAGAAAAGCCCTAAAATCTTTGCTAAAAGACACTGAGAAAGAGTTGAAAAAATCCTACAAACAGCATCAGCTGTCGGGTTTTGTAGCTTACACAGATAAGAACAGTGACCATACAGGTGAAACGCACAGCCGCAGTACTTATGGTAGAAGCCTACCAACATTCAGTGCTCGAGGAATGATACTTGGAGGTTCTAGTGGGGGAGCGAGTAGCAGCCATGGGAGCTCTCGTGACCACAGAAGAGAAGAGGCAGAAGATGACAGGGAAAACCAGTGTCCCATTTGTCTGGGTGAGATCCAAAATATAAAGACGTTGGAGAAGTGCCAGCATTCATTCTGTGAGGATTGTATTACCAGGGCTCTCCAGGTGAAGAAAGCTTGTCCAATGTGTGGCCGGTTCTATGGGCAACTAGTAGGAAACCAGCCTGAAAATGGCAGGATGTTGGTATCCAAGGACTCTGGGCTTTTGCTTCCTGGTTACGAGAAGTATGGGACTATTATCATCCAATATGTCTTTCCACCAGGCATCCAAGGGGTAAGGAATCCACTTACAGTTGTATATTGCAAGCAGTGAAGCTGAAAGTCTAGCAGCCATACAGGTTAAAGTAGGGTAATTATTGTCACAGATTTCAGTAGCTTTTCTATGTTACCTGGAACAACAACCAACAACTGGCAAGACAGATGCTAGAGTGTTGTACGTCATTAGCCAGATGAGCAAAGTAAAGAACAGACAGTAACAGAGTAGACTGTGCAGACAAAAAAGTCCAGATTCCAGGCAGGCATACTAATAGGCATCTATGTAAAACAGACAAACCTCTCGATCCTGCATGGGTTTAAAACTGTTGCCTCACTTTAAAGTCCATTAATTAGGGTAGGTGTGCACAGCAGAGACGTAAGCTGCAGTGCCGAGCAAAGGTTCAAGGCTGATAATCACAGATGTCCACCAAATATGTTTTCAGTTGTGTTTGGGGTTCTACCTCCCTATGCAGGATCTTTAGTGCTCTTCATGTCTCTGGTGCAGAGATCATTCCCTGCCCCAAACCTGACCTTTCCAATTGTCTGTTACCCCGGCGAAAACACTTCATCTTTTTAGTGCAAGCCCAGCTATGTCAGTCATTGATTGGTTGACTGCTGAATTTGTTGGGTCAGATAAAGTGGATTTTTCATATATCCAAATAAAGTAGAGGTTTTGTGACATAAAATGATTGCAAGCATGCCTCAGCTTTTCTGTGTCACCTGCCCTCTCTTCTAAACTTTCCTTAGATAAATCCCCAGATGAGTGGTATGAAATTGCTGCAGCATGGACCAACATTTCTTGGTCACCTGAGTTTGAGGAGAACCTTTAGTAAGGCTCAGTGAATATCCAACCTTGGATAAAATGCATTATTTGACACCCAAGTCTAAAATTGAACGTATCAGTGTTAATCCTGGCTTCTGCAATTGCAGTGCTTTGGTTATTTTTTGTGGAAACTAGACATTCATATTTCAATGAAGAGAACTAAAATTCAATTGTGGGACAGTTGACTGCATGTAGGATAGCCCATTGTGAGGCTATATATGCGTTTTCTTTTAAAGTAGAGTGATTATTGACATTTTGCTTTTTGAAAGAAAACCACAATCTGACATAACCTTGATTTAATATTCATCAGCTATAAAATGAAAATATATACATACAGATTGCTATACACTGTTGAAGTGGTATGTTCTTTTTTGTCTGGTATTGTAATAAATCAGCTCAATGCCTGCCCTAGTTGTCTGAGCAATCACCTCTCTGCATGATCTTCCCCATTAGTTCCCATTCACAGCCTGGAGCACAGTTTGCCTTACACAGGTCATTTATTCAGTTTCTCAATAGGTGGTTCACTCATGGGCTTATTATCAGCTAGATTAGGCCATTTTAGTTTGTGTAAATCCTATGTTCATAGCCAGCTGGTATCCACTGGTTTCAGTCATAGAGCATAGAAAATCTGCTATATTAGGCTGAAAGGGCAATCATAGTATTATTGTATCTGTTTCAGACATTTCAGTGCCAAACTCACAGATTCTTACATCTACTGATCTTGAAACCTCAGTCTTAGAGCTGTTGCAGACTAGAGCGATCCCGGTTGCATGTGGCCCCATTGATATCAATAGGGTTACATTCACATGGCAATCGCTGAAAAAAGGTACATGTACCTTTTTTTCACAACACGCACCACACGGTTATTCCAACCACGATCGTGCGCGATTGCAAGGGCGGTATCACTGTGGAAAACCGTGCGATCCGCCTGGCGCGACTGGGGTGCCATTAATGAATAATGGCACCGCCAGTGGGATCAGCAATGGTGTGCGACTCAGTGACCACGCGGTTTCATGCGCGGTCACGGCTCACTCAAGCGTGAACCTGGCCTTAAAGTATATTTGCTATAGAACCCACACAGGAAACGAAAGGTCATTATACTTTGATATATAAAATGTCAATAATAGAACATCTAAACAGAATATTCTTTGCTTCTTTTGTATCACAATTTCAGTGAATAAAGAGACACTTTGGGGGTGATCTACTAACCTAAACACACGCACACACCAGATGCGTGTGATTTTCACACAGCAAAACATATTTATCAACCAAAAAGTCTCTAAAAGCATATTTCCACTAATGCCATATATGGAAAAATCATGCACATGATGCATACATAATGCTGCTTCACAGTTTAGACAAAAATGGGTAGCTCATGCATTTACATTCCTGCATTCATCAACGCAAGCAACACAACATAGAGCTAATTTACACAACATCACCTTGCAAATTCATGCAGGGCTTTGCACAACACACCTGCTGGGTGTGTACACACTACAAAGGTGTTTAGATTCCACCAATAGATCATGCTGAGGAGGGAACACACTACAGAGGTGTATACATGTTCGTGGTGTGTTTATAAGGTTAGTAAATCAACCCCTTTGCCTCCGTCTATTCAGGATATGGTGACTATCTGTGAAAATCCCATTCCCTGATTACTTTATACTCCTCTGTAGGTTAGTGTCAGAGCTTAGGAGTAGGGACTTACTAAAAAACTAAAATAAAATTGACGGAAATTTGTTTAAGCTTTGGGATCCATGTTTGTCAGTACCGGGTCTGACACCCATAGCAATCATTACTCAAAAGTTGCTCCAGTAAACAAATCTGCTGACTCCATGGGCGTTTGTCTCAACATACTTTTATTAACACAAAGGTCATTGTTTAATCTCATATTCAACGTTATGCTTCTATCTATACTCCTTAGACCTATTGTGGACAGGGTGGTTTGGAGTTTTTGGGTTGTTGAGTTTGTGTTCCCCGTTGTCCATCAACCTTGCATACTTCTTAACATCTGATTTATAATTCTGATAATTTTAATACATAGAATGACCTGTATTCTCTTCAAATAGAATGTCTATGTTCCTATACATACACAATATATGATATGATTTTCTGAATTGTAACACCTCCTGAAGTACCTTTTGGACAGTTCTGTTCTTGTGATATGCAGAAATGTAGACTATGTGATAATTGTTTTCTTTTGTATGTATTTAATCTGAAAAATTGAAAAAACTATTTGATAAAAGAAAAAAAAATGACCCCAATACATTACAATATTCCCCTTTTTGTTTATTTTTTGTTTTTTTTGGGAGGGGAGGGTTTGCCTGCTCCAACATTTTATTTTTTGCAGTTTAATATACCACAATACTGGTAAATCCTGACATTCATAATCTAGACACACATTTTCCATGTGGCTTTTGAACAACTTCCAGGAAGTGGACTTCCCAAACAGTGGCAGGGAAGACATTGCAAAGTATAGGAGTGGTAGAATAGATTTCCAATGCAACTGTGCAATTTGATGGTTGAACAGGAGGTGATGTAGATCACTCCCTTTCATTCATAATTGAGGATATAGTTAACATACCATATCCTCAATTATTTACAAACTGCTGAATGAGGCCACTGCCATAAGGGTATGCCTTTTCCATGAAGGGTTGTACTTGGTCAGCAACAATGTTTAGATAGGTTGTATGAGTCAAACTAACATCCACATAAATGGCAGGACCCAAGGATTTCCAGCAGAACATTGCCCAAAGCATTGCACAGCCTTTGCCTGCTTGCCTTCTTCCCATTGTGCATCCTGGTGCCAAGTGAGTGACACATATGCACCCGACCATCCACATGATGTAAAAGATACTGTACGAGATTCATTGGATCAGGCTACCTTCTTCCATTGCTCTATGGTCCAGTTCATGCTCACATGTCCATTGTACCTGTTTTTGGCGATGGGCATGGGTTAGCATGGGCCCCCTGACTGGTCTGCAGCTATGCAGCCACATATGCAACAATCTGTGGGAACCAGCATTAACTTTTTCAGCAATTTGAGCTACAGTAGCGCTTCTATTGGATCGGACTATGTGGGCCAGCCTTCACTCCCCTCGTGCATCAGTGAAACTTGGCCGCCCATGACCCTGTCACCGGTTCACTGGTTTTCATTCCTTGGTCCACTTTTGGTAGGTCCTGACCACTGCATACTGGGAACATTCCAGAAGAGCTGCAGTTTGGAGTTGCTCTGACTCATTCACAATTTGGCCCTTGACAGAGTCGCTCAAATCCTTGCGCTATCCATTTACTGCCCATTTTTTCTGCTTTCACTTCAGTAACACAATATTCACTTCCTGACTACTATATCTCACCCACTTCCTCCAGGTGCCATTGTAATGAGATAAGCAATGTTATTTCCTTCACCTCTCAGTGGTCATAATGTTATGGCTGATCTGTGTATACTGTATGTCCACAAATTCTGCCCACCTGACCCATCACGTGAGAAATAATGGAGAGTCTTTGTACTACAGAAAATGGGCAAATATCTCCCCACCTTCCATTCAAGACAACACAGAAACAATTATGAAGTGTGAAAAAAAAAATGATTGATCTAGTATAAATCAGATAGATTAATTCATTTTTTCCTTCACTTTTCCTGAGTAGGTGGCTAAACAAAAAAACACTGGCTGCTGAGGCTTGAGGGCTATACTGTAGGTACCAGAGGGCCATCGGCGGGGCACAAGGGAATTAGATCTTTAACGTCCCTGGCAGTATTCCCAAGTCTGGCTCGGGGTTAATTTACAGTACCAATAGCGGTAACCCCTGAGCCACACTTGGGATTTCACAAAAGTGTCACTTACCTTGTCCTCTGTCCGCGGTGTCCTCTGCTGTACGCGGCCGGCCGATGCCGGCATCTGACTTTTAGTTTAGTTTTCGGCATCATAGCAGGGGGCGGAGCCGGCGGGAAATTCAAAAGTGAAAACATGCAATATACACAATACAATGTAATCTGCTATGATTACATTTATGTATCAAATAATTTCACTTCAATTTTGTCCCTAGAGCTTTGTCCAGTGCCCTGCCTGCACTTTTACTGTTCTTTCTGCCTGGAAACTTGAGAACGTCCATGACATCCAATAAGTGTCCCTTTAGGTCAAAAGCGGTTTTAGACCAGCTAGAAAACAGCGATAGTGAATTAGAATCACTTGCAGGATTGAGCGATTCATTGGGAAATTCGTCATCAGACACTGAAAGTGACGACAGTGACGATTCTGCGACCAAGCTCAGTGATGTGCGAACTTGGTACTCTATTGATTGGATCAGGCAGCGCCCCCAGAATTCCCATTTACTGGACATTTTTTTTAATTATTATATTATAATTTTTTATAATTATTTATTATATTATAATTTATGATTTTGTGTTTCAAACTTTATCATACCCGGGATGTCTACTGGACTCTTGTTTGGACAGATTTAGGTGAGTTATTCCTAAGATTTACTAAGAATATAAATATATATAAACAACAAATTGCCATGAAAAACAATGTACCGCTTTGGCATGCTAAAATCCTGCACAATCATACCTCCAGGGAGGTTAAAGATTGGTAGGCTAATGTTAAAGCAAATCTTCTATTGTACAGGCAGCCAGTGTAACCGATGAAGAATTAGCGTGATGTGGTATTTCGTGGTATGACTGATTGTATATTAGACTGGCAGCTGCATCCATCTGCTGGGGGCAAACAGAAATTTTCTGACCATTCTATTCGATCATTTAGTAACATCACTGGGATTGGCTGAGGGATCCTCAGTTTTAGTCCAACTCATTTAGTAATATTGTTGGTCAAGGAATGGTAATATCACAATGTCAGGCCACATACATATATGAACATGCCATTACTTCATCGCCAAAGAAGTTTTGTGTGATGCATTAGATCTTTTCAACTATGCTAATCCCAGGAACAGCAAGACAATTTCAAATGAACAGGAAAGGGTATTTTGTAACTAATTTCTAGACTGTGTTACATACATAAACTGCTGAAACGGCAAAGGTCCATTTTATGAAGGTTTGTGCATGTTTCTCAGCTTGTCTCTTAGTGGAATGAATTCATGAACGTTTGTCTCTGAACTTTATATATAACTTCATGGAGGACGTATTAGCAGCTCCCCAGTCTTTCCACCATCCTCATAGCCATTTTTTTACAAATATAATATTTTACTGATAAGAAGTCAAATCATTTTTCTTTAACTCTGAAGTGCCATTTATGTACATTAGCTGTAGTGGGGCTGCTTGCTATAAAACTGTTGGATGGTGTTACAGTTTAAAGTGTATGTTCAATTTTTTTGGCTACACCGGAGAAGAATAAGAACCTATGTCAGGTGTATCTGATATCTGCCACTCTACTTGAAAGATTTCCCCTCACTTACTATCACAGTGGCAATTGTTTTAGTGGGGTAGTGTGAATGCTTAACCCCAGCTTCATTATTATTAGCATGCAGAAATGAAAGCGCCAGTAGTGTTTTGTAAATTCCAGCAGTAGATTGTTATTAAAAGTCACATACCGGTAAAAGCCAATGCATTTTGGAGAGGTTCAAAAGGTCCCTCTTTATCAGGGCTACAAGAAAACACCATAACAGATGCAATAAACGCCATAGAATGTATAAAAAAAATCATAATTCTTAAATTTACCATTACAATATTCACATCAAATAGTAGTAAGAATAGTAATAATAATAGAATTGAAATATAAAATGTATTGAAATAAAACATTGTGGATGTACTCGCATATGGTTAAATATATAGATAGTTCAATTCAGGTTAACATATTGACTTCAGATTTTTTTTTTAACATCAGTAAGATCTGTCTACAGCATTTGTTCCATTACATATGTGCACCATATTTATGTTTCATTTCTGCCTTAGTTGGTAAACTAAAAAGCTTCAGTAAGAATATGGTTTAAAGTAGATCTAAATTAAATCACTAAAATTTTGGGGAAAAAAGCTTTACTGACAGCCCCTTAAAACCTACATAAGAAGCACTTTTAAAAAATCTGTAAAAAAATAGAAAAATACCTCAAACAAAGGTTTCCATCCTTTTTTGTGACGGCACCAGTGACATCACTGTGCCTGGTTGCTGCCTTCTTTGAAAGATGGGTGCTCGAAATCCCATGATAATGGACTCCTGGACTGTCCTGTGTAGGCAGACATTCACACCTAAAAGTGTCAGCTGCTGAAGATTGTTTGTGGTGGCTCTGGCACTGTGTGAGAACAAAGATTGGCTGCAAGTGAGTCCGTACAGGTAAGTATTCTGCCGTTTTTTGCGGTAGGAACATTTGTTTACATTTTTAAGTTAATGGCGTCTCTTTAAACACATTTAGAACAGGACCAAACAAATTTTATTGGCAAATGAACTGTTGTGAGTAAAGATATTTCAGAGCATAATGGGTATTCAGACAAAGTTCTTTTTCTTTTGTCTAAAGCAAAAAACATTGTTAGCCAGGAGATAATAAATAGGTTACAAGAAGAAATAATAGGCAAACAGATACATTCTGTTGGATAACAAATCATCTTCTAATGTAAGGGTTTGGGCATGATGCAGAGTTCTTAATGCTTTGTACATTTCCGTGGGATTTTTTTTTTTTATTATTGCCTGTGATTTTTTGTTTTACTTCTTTATGGTCTGTATAGGCTGTGATCATGACTTGTCTTTTAAAAGTACAGGAAGATATTATTTCTAGTTTAGCTGTTGGAGGGCCTACTGAAGTAAATTGCAATTATTTCTATACTCTCAAAGCATGGCTCTTCAAAGTATAATTTGCTTTGCTCAGCCCTGGAAATAGTTGTCCCATAGTTGTCTATAGGAGCTTTACTAACTAGTGGGCCAGCACAGAAGATAAGACTTTGAAGATAAGGTCCTCTGAACTGTGGGCACAGGAAGATATTATATACATAATTGCTGTTTAGTGTGGATGGGGGAATCCCCTCTTCTGGGATATTGTATTCTGACAACCCAGCAATGTAATCAAAAGTTGATTGAAAAATCAGCTTTTGCCGAATGAGCTTTACAGTGGTTGAAGTTTGGTCAGCAGGACATGGCCAAAATGTAAGCAGTGTATGGCCAGCTTAAAGAGCAACTCCACTTGAGAACAAAATCAATCCCCTCTGGGTGAATGATGTACAAGTATTTTAACAAACTGTGTTGTAGATTCCTACCTTTTTCTGTTCTGCATAAATAGCAGTTTGTTTCACCATGTCCTTTCCAAACTGATTCCTGAAGAGAATCTGGGTTTGGCAAGCTAAACTAAATTTGGCAAACTATGATCAGCTGGTGGACTTTCTGTGTTGTAATGAGGAAAGCTGCAGTGTTGGCATCACTTCAGAAGTGATTAATCCTTAGGAAGTATCTCACTAAAAATGAAAATCCTATTGCAAGGGATGCCTAACAGTTTCCTTGTATCTAAGTGTTTCTGTTTTTGTGATTGGCTGATTGATTTTCCCAGAAGTCATCACGACTTCTGGGAAAATCAATCAGCCAATCACAGAAACAGAAAAATACATTTCTGGGGGTGTACAAGGACTGTGTACAGAACGCCTCCAGGTCACCATATTGCAGTGATTGTTTTTTTACATTTTATAAAATTACAGCGCCTGCAGTTTTAAATGGAAAGGTCATTTTTTAATAACATTAAATTATAAAATGGCTTGTGTATAAATTCTATGCTATAATTACTTTATTTTTATGATTTTTTTTTTAGTTTTATGGAGTTGAAGTGGAGTTTAGACACTCAGATTTGATTATCTCAGATAAGGGCTGTGTATGGCTTGTGAAAACCATATACTGTAAGTAATGACCGGAGGATCTTTGGAAATGACCAGAATAATATAATAATCATCTGCACAAGTGATCATGCACATTCTGCAAACATGGCACAATGCACCACTACTTTGAACTCTGATTTCTCCATGGTGGGCTTAACAAAGTCTTCAGAGGAGCTAACCTCTCTTGTTCTGTGCTAGGTTATGGAGCTTTAATGTTCGCTGTTTCCCTAAGGCTTGCCTTTCCTCTTCTGACTTGTGAAATAAAACACATTTGAAATAATAATTACCTATTTAAATCATGAAAAATCTCCTTTGACAAAGGTCTAATGGTTGCTTGTATGAGTCCATTACTTCTAATGGGTGACATGCATACCTTGCCTAAATACAAATGACTTTACTCTCTTTTCCCTGCCAAGTTAATAAACAATTTGCTTCCAACTACCTCTAATCCATCTTTAAAGCTTAGCTGGAGCGCACAGACTATTTATTCAGTCACAATGGGCTGTTTTTATATACACCTCAACAGTAATACATCCCAGGAAACCTATAATGTGTCCTGTGGCTTATTGCCACTAAGCTGTGACTCAGGAGTAATGTGGCATACATAAGCCAAGAAAAGGATTACTATGTATTGTATATCGAAAATGTTTGTTTGATACAGTTAAAAAAGCACCCGCTTCATAAAACCTGGTAATAAAATTGAAGTGTTTAGTAATAAGAGTATATTCTGCGTAATAATCATACCAGCCTAATAGGAGATTGTCTGCATTGCCTGTGGCAGCATTCAGTGGGGCTGATGAATGAAAGCTGCAGCAAACTGCGCCACTTTGCTGCAGTTTTCATAAATCATTCCCAGAGTCTTTGTTTTCTTTCTTGAAGACTCTGTCTTTCAAAGACAATATTCTTTCTAGAATGGCTGTCAAATACATACCACTGCTTTTTAGAGGTTAGCCTTAAAACCCCCAGCCAGGAGATGTGGCAAGGATTGGACCAGGGACCCTTAGCGTTGCAAGGCAGAAGTGCTAACTACTACGCCATTGTGCTGCCCAGTATTGAATCAAGATATAATATGTGGCTGTACAGACATGTTGCAAAATACAACTACTTCAATGGGGTGTACTTACTTTTTCACATAACTGTATGTGAGTGTTATGTTTTCTTTTACACTTCTGATAATTGCTCTTTATTTCTTTGCAGGCAGAACACCCGAATCCTGGGGTTAGGTATCCAGGAACAACTCGTGTGGCTTACTTACCTGATTGCCCAGAGGGGAACAAAGTTCTGACACTATTTAAGAAAGCCTTTGATCAACGTCTGACCTTCACCATTGGGACTTCAATGACCACAGGAAGACCTAACGTTATAACGTGGAATGACATTCACCATAAAACTAACTGCACAGGAGGACCACAACTGTAAGTTTTTTCCTTGCCATAAAAATACTCGCTCACTCGTGGTATATTCTCATGTAATTTTCCCAAAAATTAAAGCCAGTCAGGGCTGTCTTGTGGGGCTGTTGCACATTCTATGGGCAGATTATTATTTATTGTGTGACATAACAGCTGTAAGGCTGCTCCTACACTGCCCATATTTGCATGTGCTAAAACATATTGGACAACATACTGTATATTCCAAAAAGTCAGACGAGAAGTGGTTGCATTCACATTTAGAGATTGTGTGACTTCTCTGTCAGTGATTGGTCATTTGTTCTACAGAAAGGCAAATTGCTTTTTAACTCTGATTTGTCTTTCAGTAGAATGAGGGTCAGATAGGGGAGAATTTTGTTGGCCAGCCCAGCGGTACACAGGTGAATAACCTAGCCATATAGACATTGAGCCATGCAGCTGGTTTGTCCCCTTTAGGCGTGCATCGATACTAGTATCGGTATCGATACTGAGTATTTGTTTGTGTCCCCGATGCCTATCCCGATACCGGAACTTCCAGTATCAGGAAGCCGGGCGGCGAGTCATTACATGCTGCCCGGCTTCCTGATTGGCCAACTTTACTAGTTGGGGACGAGGGAGCATGGAGCTGGCTTCCTAGCCAATCAGGAAGCCAAGGGGCAGGTAATGACTTGCCCCCCGGCTTCCTAATTAGCCGGGAAGCCGGCTCCATGCTCCCTTATCACCTGGTGACGAGGGAGTATGGAGCTGGCTTCCTGGCCAATCAGGAAGCCGGGCGGCGAGTCATTACCCACCCCCGGCTTCCTGAGTGGCCAGAAAGCCCCTCTATCCCGGCTTCCTGATTGGCCAGAAAGCCGGCTGCATGCTTCCACATTGCCTGGTGACAATGGAGCATGGAGCCGGCTTCCCGGCTATTCAGGCAGCCAGGCGGCGAGTCATTACATGCCACCCGGCTTCCTTAATGGGACTTTCGGTATTAGTATTCAGTATTGGCGAGTATCGGGGGAAAAAATGTTGGTACTCGAAACCGAAAAAACGGTATTGATGCATCCCTAGTCCCCTCGCAAGCATTTTCCAAAATTATTATATGGACTTTCCCTGTGATTGAGGTGTCCTGGGCATTAGGTTGGTGTTATCCAAAGATTATTTGTTTGTCTGAAGCTGTCACATGATGTAACTCTATCTGCACATAGCCTGAGCTAGTTTTAAATGGAACAAAAATAATTTTGTTAAATGCAGTCGTGTTTTCCCAGGACAGAACACTTGGAAGCAGTAATAAAATAGCCTGTTTTAATGTTTATTAAATCCCCCAGCAATGATACAGGGTGGGCAGCAATGATTTTGTCAGGCCATTAACTAAATGATAATATAGGGCTTTCTCCAGTCCATAAAATGAAACTCATATTGCATTGTATTACAAATGAAAAGCCTATTTGATTACGTGAGAGCAAAATTGCTTTCATGGGAAATGATAAATGGATTTTTATGGCCTTGGTATGACTGTGTTTTATTACAACATTCATTCTGGGTTTCAGCTCATACAGTCCATGGCAGATAACTTGCCAGCCTAGAGATAGAGAAACTATGTTTTGTGTCCAAAATAAAGATTGAATCTTTGTGTTCACTAGAATAAAATAACACATTATTCTGCCATGTAAAAAAGCTGCAAATTGATTGTTATTGATATATTTGGTTTTATTTATCAAAGCTCAGACAAAGCCATGAAGAAGAGGAACGGTGGAGTATTATTCCAGGCAATTTTTAGTATGACATCATCGTTTTCATTCAAAAAGCTCCTTGTGTGCTGCTGCTTAGAAATAGCAATGGTGCTAAACCATCACAAAACATGCTTCGGACATGCTTTTTGTGTTTGTATTTTATATGTGGTTCGATAGCCACAACAGAAAGTCAGAGGAGATCCCTCCAAAGTGAAGGAAATCACTGGTGGTCAACAGGGTCACCGGAACTATCGACCTCATTGGAGAATTTCCAATCTATTCCTGTTCTGATGTCAACCCAAACATTTGAAATGTTCTTACACTTTTCAGTGATAACGGTGACCAGGACTCATAGAGAGAGTGAATCTCCCTGACAGGGACACAAACCGCAATAAAAACCTGACAAGTGTTCTAATCCCTCTCCACTCTATCCAAAACTAAAAAAAATGGTTTTGTCTTCAGTGGCACTTTAAATACAGAGATGAAATGTATACAGTATATAAGAGCTGTTAAAGTGACATTAAGGGCAAAAGCCGCCGCCCCTCCCCCCCCAGTGCTAATGTAAGGACTTACCTTAACCACTTGAAGTCCGCGGTGTTAAACCCCCTTCCCATCCAGGCCATTTTTCAGTATTCAGCGCTGCGGTACTTTGACTGACATTTATTCCGTCATGCAACGCTGTACTGAAATGAATTTTATACAATTTTTTGGGGACAGATAGAGCTTTCTTTTGGTGGTATTTAATCACCACTGGGGTTTTTATTTTTTACTATATTAAGGAAAAATTATGTCAAGATTGCGCAAACGCGCGAAACCTCAGAAAACTACAATACCCAAAATTGGCCATAGGCGACGCTTTAAAAGCTTTAACTGCTCATCAGTTTAGTGTTATCAGTAATTGATGGCCCTAAAATGATTGCTCTCATTTCGACGTTATGTAACATGTGTAGCGCAGTTGTTGTTTTCGCGCGCTGACGCATATTTATGTTTATATGTGCGTAAACGTGGGGGTGGGGGACTTAAAAATTGTGTTGTAGGTCCTCTTTATGGAGACATTAGGGGTTTCTAGGACCCCTAATGTCACCTGAGGACCCCAAAAGAAGCTGATGAAGCAGAGATCTTCTTTTCTCTGGCTATAGCAGCCAGATGTTCTTATTATAGCTGGTTATCAGGGCCTAGGAGGAATAATACAGCACACTTACCTTGTGCACTCAAGCACAAAAGAGTGCTGGATAAGTAAGTTGTGTTGCTTGCATGTACAATTATAGCAAATGTTTAGGGTTGACTGGAGTTGTTATATACTGTTCTGCATTTGCATAGAACTAACCTAGAAATGTTCTCTGTTTTGATTTCAGGTTTGGTTACCCTGACCCTACCTACTTACTGAGAGTCCAGGAGGAGCTGCGAGCCAAAGGCATCACTGCTGACTAGAAGGGGAATATTGTGCCGCATACAGGCACTGAGATTTCGGGACGGAAATAAACAATTCCCACAGAGGAAAAGCCGCCTTTGTTCCATTTTTCTTACTGTCCTCTCATTTTAGCTCCTTTGCTGATCTTGCTTTTCTCAGAAACTGCAATGGGAATAAGAACTTGGATCCAACACTGGAGTATTTGCAAAGTTATGAAAAACTTGTTAAAAGTTACTAACTTTCAATGGAGGTTTGCCTTAATGGTGAATTAAATGGGTGAATTGATTGTTTTATTGGGACAATATAGTAGGACAAAGACTTCTAGAGACGTTCTAGAGTTACCTGTGGACGGCTTAGTTCTAGCTGACCATCCAGTCAATAGTCATCGTGTCTCATTCCCCTGGAAGGACAATTGTTTATCTTACAGAGCAGTCCAGGCCTTGCAGTTTACCTGGAATTGCATCTTATGAGCTTTGTAGTTGAAACGCCTCTAGAAAGGACCAACCTGTCAGCATCAGTGCATAATGTTTTCTGCAGGCCCAGTACCTTAATCCCAGTATTGCAGGGTGTTGTGCGCCTTATCTTTCCACACCTTATCTTTCCACACCTATAATTGCCTATTAGATGTTGCAACACAGCACACGGCAGTACAATGTTTAGTTCTACTTTTCTTTTATTATTCATTTCTGTTTAAAGCAGCGATGGGATTCATGGATATCCTATTCAAATCCATACTAAAGGGAGTTTTATTTCTTGCAGGGAAAATTCTAGTTGTATATTTGATATCATCAAGAAGCATGCCATCATTTAGTCTCCAAACTATGAGAAGACATCCTTCTAGAAATTACTTATGCCATATATTATGTATGTGCATGGAGTGTCTGCATCTGGGGTTTGTAGGGCAGTTGATGAAGAGGGCAGGGGAAGGCTGTATCTGAGTTTCTAACCTAAAGTACAGTTACATTTACAAATATTTAAGTCTTTGTGTAAAAGAGCTAATAATGCTATGAATAGATGTTCACATATCTGCCCAGAGCTTGATATTTGGTATTTTATGTACATTGGCTTTGAAGGTAAGTGACTTTTGTTGATCTGTGTAATGAGACATTTTAGCCAAACAGAGGCTACTTACATGTCCTTTATGTGCATTACAGAATGGAAAGTCACAGGCGTATATATACACCCTTGAAAATTATTTGCTCTTCTGTATAAATTAAAGTCAAACTCCTGCCAAAACCAGCGAGGGCAGATTTCATTTAACAAATAGCCTATGTGGTGTTGTGAAATTCTGTCCACCCCAATAGTGTTACCGGCTGTTTGGGTTGGACTAATATGGATTCTGTGTTTTCTTCTAAAATGTTGTTATTACATAATTGTGGTAGCCATGCTATATACAATATAATAATCACCTGTCAGGCTTCATTATATTTTGGGTTATTTTGGGTTATTTTTTTTGTGGAATTAGGAGCTTCCCCGTGCCAAAAGAACATTGAATTCACATCTGCAGAAAGCATTGAAAACAAGCAGACGCTAACTATACAACCTTACATTTCTTTCGTCCTGACAACACTGCTATGCAGTTCTTCCATTTTCGTGCCTCTGTAGGATAGACAGGAAAACACCACTCCATCCTCAGTGTATACTGTTCTCCTCTTATTGTGCAATCAAAGTCACAACTTGAGACAAGTATGAATAAAAGATCAGCACGCCTAAGATTATAAAGGAAACGCACCCATTACTTAATGTTATAAACACTAGTAGCTTACACGTTTTAGACCCCGTTCACACCGGGGCGGGTTCGGCCGCACGGATCCGCAGACATGAACAATCCCATACATTGCATACATTGTCCACACGATCCGAACCGCCCCCGCCCGAACTGCTCTCTCTTTTTAATTGCGCTGAAATGCAATTAAAAACTCCCAAAACATCTCTTTTGAGATCAGCGCGGTAACCGCTCTGATCCGCAAACGCCCTGGTGTGAATAGGCTCTTAGGTAGTGGAGCTCATAACTAATAACAGGCTGACACATTAAATGTGTTATATGAAGACTAAGGCCTTGTTCACACCAAATGCAGAGCAGATCTGGTCAGGTTTCTGCACACGCACGCTAGTCTTTTAGATGCGTTTTTGGCTAAAACAATTATTATTATTTTTTTTTTTTAAGTTTAAAATAGGCTTTCAGTGCGTTCCAGGCATTTGCATGCGTCTTTGATGCATTTGCAGATCCAGAGCAGGTAAAATAGGGCCTGCTGCAGTTTTTTTTACCTGCTCTGGAACTGCACGCTGCGATGTGAACTGGAGCAAAAAATATCATTGGAATACATTGGACGCAGTTTTGAACCGGTCTGCAACTGATCTGCTCTGCACTTGGTGTGAACAAGGCCTAAATGAAGGGTAGCTTTTAATCCTTGGGTGTGTTGGCCCTTTATCTGTAATCAGCCCTTTATTTCACATTTCTTCTATGAAGGAGGAGCCAAATTATTGTTCTACACGATTCAGCAGCTGAAAAATCTTTTTAACAAAGTTCCTCAATATACATGCATTACTAGATAATCCAGTTATGTGCAGTTATGTTGTGTTATGTGTTATGTTGTGTATTAAGTGTAAGAGGAGAGCAGGCAGGTACCTTCAGCATCTGTCTAATCCCAGGTTAATACGTCCAATAGTGATTGGTCAGAAACATCCAACATGGCTGATTGATATACAGCATCTGTAAAAAATAAATCACCGCAACTGGACTGTATTTTTCTTGCAGATGTTTCGCTGATCATCCGACCAGCTTTCTCAATTCAAAACTTTCTGAATTGAGAAAGCTAATCGGATGACTAGCGAAATGTCTTCAAGAAAAATATAGCAAGTAAAGTTGCCTTGATTTATTTTTTACAGATATACCGTGGCCTGGATGAATGAGAACCTTCACAGACATGGCTGATTGACAGCTCCACCAACAACCTTCTGGAGTTGCGTAACACTGCCTACTAGTATCCACAGACATCAATGCCTTACCTGAGCTGGATAAAATGATAGTCATCTTTGGTCTGTGGTTACCTAGAGGCTATGTATAGTGTAGCTCATGAGAGTTCAGTACACCTGAGCTAGTCACATTTAAGCTAGAGTTCCTTTTCAGGTCATCCCTCAGACGTTGCATAGTGTGCTCATTCTCTGCAGTGTGGTAGTATGCTTGTGCATATGAGTTGATATGACCACTAAATAATAAGTCTTTAGAGTGATAATGGCACACATGGGCACACTTGTATTGGCACAGAGTACATATTTAGGCTCTGAGCAGGCACACGTTTTACCAACCTCTTGTCAGGGAAATGGGTGATTGGCTAGGAAAATTCAAGTGGCCTGATTATTTTTGTGAGTGGTATGGATTGTGCCCATAGGCATACTCTTGTTTTACCCTGAGAGAGCAGCAATTATCTCTGGGTATCTACAGGTGAAGGAGGGGGTGGAGTTGGTAGCTGAACATTAAATAAAGGTTAAAATTAACTTGTCAATAGCATGAGAAATTCAACCTGAGCATATGATGAAAAATGTGTAAGCAGAAGTTCCCTTTTATCAAAATGTCATGTGAATGACATTGGCCTTTTAATGTGACAGGGGACCCCAGTGAAAAATAGGGAGTACCAGAGAATGTAAGGGGTGTGCACATCCCAGCCTCTTGATCTAACCCATTGGCCCTTTAATGTGAAGGGGGACCCCAGTGGAAAATAGGAAGTCCCAGGGAATGTAAGGGGTGTGGACAAGCTCAACTTTTATAGGAAAAGCTGAGATTTGTGCATCGTTTTAGCTGCCTGTATATTTGGGTTTAGTGATTACTTTTAAAATGCACTTTTCACTGAAGTTATCCATTGCTGATTCCTCAGTTTGGATTGCTCAGGTTTGCGTCATCTTTACTTTGAACTTCTTCAAGCGAATCTTTGGTTTGCCCATGTGGAGCAAAGCAACAGGTTGGAACCCCCCCGCCAGCATGTACCCTGTTTCCCTGAAAATAAGACCTTCCCCAAAAATAAGACCTAGTACTATTTTTGGGAATTGCTAAAATATAAGACCTACCCCGAAAATAAGACCTAGTTGTGACCATTGCCAGGGCTGGTGGTGGCATAAGGGGGAACCTAAAGAGCCGCAGGAGAGATTCAGCGGTGCCAATGAAGCCAGCACTAGAGTAAGCGAGGCAGCAGCGGAGGGAGCAGAGCCGCATAAGCTGATGTTTCCTCTAAAGCGCCGGCTCCTGTCACAGGCGGAGTGATACCAAATGCACTCCGCCTGTGAGGAATCGATATTTAAAGTGTGCTTCGCTTTTTCTGATTACCAAATTGCTCTTGGAAAGGTACGGCACCCCTGATTGCCCTGATCACCCTATTCTTAACTTTGCCATTTTGGATTATTTAATTTGGATTTGCATTAACTTTGGATTGTTATACATTAAAAAATAAATAAAACCTACCCCGGAAATAAGACCTAGTGTGTTTTTTTTTGAGCCAAAAAAAATATAAGACAGTGTCATATTTTCGGGGAAACACGGTATATAGCTGTCCTTCCTTTCTTCCCCCCTCCCATTCAGCAAGTGGGAATAAGGAAAATGCCCAGTATTTCCTGCTATGGAGGATCTTGTGTCCCATATAGCAGTACTAGTGCTTGGTGATTGGCCCAGCACTGTCACACAGGAGAGGGGAGAGCCCTTGTGTAATCTACAAATGGAGCAGCTTATCGCTTGCAACAAACTCTTTCTTTACCTTCAGCTTCTGAACAGAGTGACAGAGAAATGAGTATGTGCTGCTGGGGAGGGTGGTATTGAAGTGAATCTGTTGTTTTGCCCAGCAAGAACAAAGCACAGGTTTCCTTGCAACACTTTTCCCCTAATGTGTAATAGATTAGTGATGCTTCAGATCAGAACTATTGTTGATGTGTTATTCAAAACATAATGAAAGCTCCGGCTTTACCAAATTGTATTGGTCTCAGTCTCTTGTAATGTAATCTCTTGTAGAGCAAACCTAAGGCTGGGAGAGGGGCAGGCAACACTAGTCAGATGTGTTACAGTTACATGTGCTCAGAAGGAACAAGTTAAACGGGTAAGAGTGATGGGCTCATCTGTCTGCTGCTTCTCCTTCACTGTCCAATTACAGACTTGTGGTAGGAGGTTACCCAACTGTTCTAAAGTGACATTAAACTCAGGAGTTATATCTTAAAAATACATTCAGGTACCCTAACTACAACAATAATGTATCTTATTTGTGTATCACTCGGCTGTAGATCCTCAAATCATCTCTGAATTGGTGCTGACACTGTCCTTCCTTCTGGAGGGGGACTACTTTTGTTCCCCATGGTCCCTGTGTGTGCTCTAAAGTAGACAACGCTCCTGTGATGGACTACAAGCTCAATACAAATTAGTAAACTAAATATGTGATTGTAGTCCATCATGGGAGCGAGCTTGGAGTGGTGGCTACTCTACAGCACACACAGGGAACAACAAAAGTAGTCACCCTCCAGAAGGAAGGACAGTGTCAACACCAATTCAGAGATGATTTGAGGATCTACAGCCGAGTGATACACACATAAGATACATTTTTGTTAATAGTTAAGGTACTTGAATGTATTTTTAAGATTTAACCCCCAAGTTTAGTCTCCTGTCTGTAAATCTCAGGACTGGATGGGCAGAAATACAAATATATGTACTTTAACTGTGTTTTTTGCTGTTTCAGGGGTTCAGCTTTAACATGCACCATTATTACCGTACCTGGAATATATGTTTTTCTAGTGCTTTGTCTAGGAAGGTTGTCTTCATGTAGCATGCAGCCACACTGGGAATTTCCTTGCTTCACAACAAAACTAGTTTAGCGACATTACAAGGTATGCGAGTGAGCACTAAGAATGTGTTGCATTCTGTGTTCTCGCTCAATGGGCTGTCTATTG